AGGGAGGGGAAGAGGGAACATGAAGAAAGTGGAGTCACAGGTTTGAGTGGGAGACGTATGTGGGAAGGCCGAGTAATTTGAACGTGGGTTATGAGGAAATGAAGACAAAGACGTCAGATTACACTTTGATATAAACTCCCCCGCACTGCACATGAAGTATGAGTGTCTTGAGACGTCTACAATATCCTACTTAATTAGAATTACTGGACTTAAATATTACTCATGTAGAATTGAGACAATGTGTACTGAAAAAGCACAAAAAAGAGCTTAAAACTTCAAATCTTCAACTTTCTATAATTAAATATTCAAAACTGAATAAGCGAGTGAAAATTAACTAAAAAGAAAACCCCCTGGTTATTGTTTGTTAAGAGTTTGATACTCTAAAATGTATCTGCTCCATCAGTAATGATATAGAAATCACTTATGTAAAAATAACTGTTCAAACTTTATCACAACCTTTAGAAAGAAACTGAGAAAACAGGTTTTCAGAGCCTTTAAGGTCACCAAGAAAGAGTCAACATGGCGTCCCAGCTGTAACCACTTCAACGTATAACACCCTACAAACCGTCTCCGATTCATTATTATTTTACAAACAGCTTTGCGATGTGTAATCTTTAATATTTAACATTATTATCTGGTAATATTCTTTGTTTTTCCTATCAAATGAGCAGAAACAATCGCTGTATCTGTGCAGACGGTATAACCGCCGCACACTGCCACTGTTTTTCTTTGAGGGAGAGATGTTATTATTTGTCAGTGTAATAGACGATAATGTCATAGAGAAGACAGATACAGATGCTCTAGATTTCCCGGCAGAGCAGCAACAAAACAGGGCAATGTTTACTTTCCCCCAAGGTGAAAAGCAACCAACGACGGGAGAGCATCGAGAGGAAAGTGTTACGTGTGTGTGTGTGTGTGTGTGTGTGTGTGTGAGAGAGAGAGAGAGAGAGAGAGAGAGAGAGAGATCTTCTTGGGCCATGAAAACAATGCAGCAACGTCTTAGAGGAGCTCGGCCTCTATCTAAATAACGAGGCTCTGTGGGCTGCTGTTTCAGTGGCGACGGTCGGGTTTTTAACTCTCGGCATAACGTCATCCAACACATAAACACAGGATAACCCCAACCACCACGTGCGCGGGTAGGAAAATCAGACTTGACGTAAATGTCCATATGAGGAGTGACGGCCGGGCCATATATGGTCGTTCCGCTCGTGACGCTGTTCCTTCCGTGGAAAATAGCAAAGGCGGGGCCGCGGTGACCCCGCCCCTCTCGCAGCTGGTATCAATGAGAAGTAAAACTCTCAATCTGAAGCGGATTCTAACAGACCCGATGGAGATGTCAACAAGTAGGCTACAGTAGATTTATAAAGCATCTCCAAAACGTAGCTTACTGTAGCAGCCTCTTAATCATTTGCACAGAAAAAAAAACACTTAACCCGTATTTATTTATCTTATTATTTAATATTTTTTAGCTGTTAAAGGCAAATAGTTTATTATTTATTACTTTTAGCTTATTTAAAATACTTTTTTTAGCCATGACTTCAAGCAGTGAACCGTTGGAAATAGCTGGCAATGAGCTGGTCCACATACTCAGGACGCCCTGGGACCAGTACACCTCCGCCGGGTACGTGGTGCTTGACTGCAGACCTTTCCTCGATTTTGCTTTCGCGCACATTTGCGAGTCGCGCAACGTCAACTGGAACTCGATGATGCGTCGCAGATCCAAGAGCTCGGCGGTGGCCCTGGAGTGGCTCGTCCCGGACAAGGCGCTGCTGGGCCGGCTGCGGCGCGGGGAGTTCTCCCCGGTGGTCGTGGTGGATGAGAGCAGCCGCTCCGTGGCCGAGCTGAAGGCGGAGAGCGTGGGCCAGATGCTGCTCACCGCCCTGCAGAACGAGGTTCAGACGCAGATCTGCTTTCTTCAAGGTAATGAGACTTTCCATTTCATTTGAACTCACCGAAAATGTGTCCTACTGTTACTTGACTTTGCAAGAGAACAAAAAACATTAATATATGTGCTCTGAGCCTACTTATTTATGTTTGTTATGAGTGTAATGTGTGAAACAAACTGTAATCTAAAACTATATATAATTTGTTTCATACAAGCCTATTTTTAAGGAGGACTTTGGTGAAAGCCTGGGGCTCAGCTAATATATGTTCCCCCCCCCCCATTTAGGTGGATTTGAGGGATTTACAGAGACCTATCCAGAGCTCTGTTACAGCTCAGCCAGCAATCACCTCTCTGCAGTGGAACCAGAGCCAGCAGTGACGGGTCGGATGACACCAGCATATGATCAGGTAAGCATATGACCTTGTGAAGTACCAAAAGACAATACGGAATGAAAAAAAAGCTCTTTAGGTGATGAAAAATACAGAGTCCAAACTGCATAGTGATTATTCCTGATTTCTGTCAATTGCAGGACGGTCCCGTGGAGCTGCTGCCCTTCCTGTTTTTGGGCAGTGCCGTCCACTCCTCCCGCAGAGAGACTCTGGCGGCAGCGGGCATCACCGCTGTGCTCAACGTCTCCTCCACGTGCCTGAACTTCTACGAGGGGGACTTTCAGTACCTGCGGCTCACCGTGGAGGACAGCCTAGCCGCTGACATCAGAGCCTGCTTCTCCACGGCCATCGCCTTCATCGGTGAGTCTCTCCCCTAAACATCCAGCAGCGTCACCTTAAGAAGGTGAAAGTCCGGTAACAGAGCCAGTAAACACACAGCCAATTAGTCTCGTCTTAGTTAAGTGGGTCGTCTTGTTACACTCTCGATGAAATGTGAAATATCCAAAACATTTCTCTAAGCAGCTTGTGCACTGTAATCCATTCTGTAGCCTGGATTTATGGTTCAACAGTGTAATCTTCCGATCATAAAAACAAATGGATTAAGCTGCACAAGATGCAGAAGAGAAATGTATGAACATTTCCTTTTCGTTTTGACCCCTTTCCCTTGTAAAGTTTGAGTTCAATTTATTTATTTAAGAACTAACTTAACCAATGGCAAATAATTGACTGTTCCATCAGTCGTTCAGTTTAAAAACATTCCGTGCATCTCTGCTCGCAAAAACACTCATTGATGTCACAGAAACTGGTGTGAAGCGGTTTCGCTGATCTATCTTCCTCTTTCCGTCTCCGCCCACAGACTCGGTGAAGCAGAGCGGTGGTCGGGTGCTGGTGCACTGCCAGGCAGGTATCTCCCGCTCCGCCACCATCTGCCTGGCCTACCTCATGCACACGCAGCGCGTCAGGCTGGACGAGGCCTTCGACTTTGTGAAGCGGCGGCGGCAGGTCATCTCCCCCAACTTGGCCTTCATGGGGCAGCTGCTGCAGTTCGAGACCGACGTTCTCTGCCAGGGGTGAAGGCGCGGAACCCCTATTAAGAGGAAACCATTAACACGACCGCTCTTTATCGATTCCTTCTCCTGCCTCCCGCAGGCGCTGTGCTGCCCTCTGAGCGCTATCAGGACTCGTATGTGCAAATGAACCGTTTGTACTATTGAAACTGGCACAGTCACAAATGTATTCTTTGTATGTTTAGAGCAAAACTGCCGTGTGCTGCTGGCATCACACGGTTTTGTCTGGTTTTGTGTGTATTACTTTGTTTGACTTACGTGCCTGATCTTTTGCAAGGGCTGTCCTAAATGTTTTTTTTCACGCATCCGAACCACTGTGACATGACATGTCTTTTCACGAGACAACACTGTGTTAACTTCTTGCGGCAATACTGGATGAATCTCAAGTTTTATTGTCTCGTTTATGAAAACGCACTACCTGCTGTTGATGTCGTGTTATTATTCTGTATCCTGAGATGGATCACACTCACGCTGGAAGTTTTTTATGATGTAAATAGATTTGTTTTTAATTTATTAATTCAACATTGGTTATGACATCGTGAGCATTATTACTGTCTGTTACTGCACTTTAAGGTTTGGCTGATTCCCTGCAGTTTTTCGGGATTTTTTTACCACTAAAATAAAAACATGCTGGAGAACACACTGGGTCTGTTTACTCTGTATAATGTACTTATTTCATACATATATGACACATCTCACTTCTCATATACAGTCAATACATAGCCCCCATTACAAAGGCACATGTTCACAGACTGACCTTGCAGTGCTCTGTTGCTAAATTTGAGGGTTTTAAAACGCTGCATTGAGTGTTTTTGGAGGATTATCCACAGAGAATGGGTTTCACAGTCTGAAGTCCTTTTTGACCTCAACAACCACCGGCATAAAGTCCACATCCACTTGCTCAAGTTGCGAGAACAACTTTGGTCAATTGTCACAAGGAATTTTTTTTAACAAGAGAGCCGAAAGCTCTACTTTGACCAAATGCTGGTTCCTCATATTGGGAAAATTCCTGCTCATTACCTCCACGCCAAACTATGTTCAAAACATGCTGTTTGTCAGATGAACCAACGAGAACATTAGACACAGTTCACCTATCTCCTTTCATCATGAGGGAACGTCTCCTTCCCATGAATTTCCACTCAATCCACAGCAAGTCACACTATTTAATAGCATCATGTATTTTATGATGAACAGTTTAAACGAAATGCAGTAAACTCTAAATGTCAACCTAATGGGTAGAGATGACAAAGAAGGACCACTGCATTAAAGACCAGCTGCCACCACTGCCTCATCCCCCACTGCTAATTATGCCACCCACGCTGTCATAGCCATAGCTAAAATATTCCACTTCCCCTCATTCATCCATTGCCCAGAATGTACGCAGGCATAACTGCTATTCACTCGACTTCTTCCTTCCATTACCCACAGTTTTCCAGTCGCACAGCAGAGAAGTGCACCTTGGGGTTTCCAGGTTTTCATGAAGACCCAGAAAAATAACATTTGCTCTTCTGGTTTGTGTTCATTTAGACTCTCACAGTCACATTCGGGTTACATCATTTGAAGTATATGCATAAAAGCTGACTCACTCTCACAAATGTTTATAAGCGTGGCCTTCAGTTGCATGTTGTTGCCTCTTGTCTGTTTTATATAATTTAATTTATATAAAAAGAAACCTGTTCAATTATATAAAGGTTTGTTGGAGGGGCGAAGATTCAGTGTCTATGATAGGAAAATACATCTTCACTAGTCCGTGCAATATCCATCAACTGTAAGCCACACTATGCAAACAGTCATAAAAGTCATAAAAATGAAACAGGAAGAAGGAAAGGGAGAGTATAAATAGATATTAGGCCGGTTTTAGTGCATGTTGTCAGAGTGTACGGGTGGAAAGTAACTAAATTCATCTTTTTACAGTATAATTTCGAGGTACTTTACTTGAGTACATATTTTTTTATGCTAATTTATACTATACATAGTGTACTTTTTACACCGCTTATGTACCAGTTACTTTTCAGATTAAGATTTTACAGATTAAGATTTTACAGATTAAGGTTTTACAGATTAAGGTTTTCGGTGCTGCTGGTCATGCGACAGATGTCTCTGAGTTGTAACTGTGATTTCTCCTCTAAATTTCTCAGATGGCTCATCAAAATAACTGCTTAAGGCCAGGAGTCATCCAATATGATCCAAAATCCAATACAGATTTGTGTTGCCAGATTTGTCTTGTGACCTTTGGGAAGAGGCTCAAACCCTATGGTGGGAACCAGTGGCCCTAAATGTTTATTCAGTACAGAAGTTATAATTAGCTCCACCCAACCAGCTCCAACGGTATAATGCTGCATTCATGCATCAGAATCCACAATCTATTTAAGTAATTGATAGTCATATATGAGTTATTTTACTTAAATTATACTCATTCTACCTCTGTTCTTTCACATTAAGTAGGTTTTTGACAGGAATACATTCATTTATTGTTATTGTGTATTTGTACATTTTTCTATGGTGTATTTAAGATCTGAGTACTTCTTCCACCACTGCAGGTAGTTTCAAAAAGAATGTATCTACCAGACTACAACCTGTATGATCACATAAACAGTGCTACCAACATCACAGGGCATTGGTTTATAGTGAGACAGCGCTCTCTAGTGACAGCTTTTGAAATGATCAGAAAACAAGATGATTCCAAAGCAACCAGCAGATGACGCCAGCAGACTGTTTGTTAACTGTGGGGGCCTTTCTGTGACAGAGATAACAGAAAAATACCACATCTCTCTCTCTCTCTCTCTCTCTCACACACACACACACACACACATACGCCTATCATATCACTCTGTCAT